TACAACCCACGTGATCACTGAGCCGTTCGCGTCTCTACGCATAAAAGCGCGGGAAAGAGTGCTGATTTCACTTAACTGATTCAGTCAGGAATTAAGGAGACATTACTGAAAGGTAAGAACTTTGGAGATTCAAGCTATTGTTGTTGTAAATAAATATACTTTTTCCTTTAGAAGCAAGAAGAGAGAAAAACCTAGTTTACTTCCTTAACGCTTAAGAAGGTTGTTTAGCTAATATTAAAAGCCGTAATTTTTCTAGACTAAAAAACCTCAATATTTCTCAGCTAGAGAGCTAAAGAATTTTGCATTTCCTTTCGGATAATAACAGGTCGCGAGTATAAAACAAAGTTGAGTCCCAGAAATGAAATCATTCCTGATTTTGCTATTTTGAAATTGGCTTGCGAACAATCACCGATATAATAGTTTAAAAGGAATAAATTTTATCGTCTAAAAACACAATAATAATACGGACAATTTCTAATCCTTCACACATTAAAATTTTAGATTTACAAGAAAAATTCACAGCCTATAAGTTTTATGTAGGAACTCTTACTTATTTGAATTGGTGTTTTGAAAGCTTTATTTCGGCTCCCTATGGATAAATGTTGTCGGACAATTGCAAATTCTCTTTTCTCTATTTCCAGTCGCTCTGTGTATTCAAAGTCTGTTTTACCAGTCGAACCGGATATTAATTCCACTTTTTCAAATTCAAAACAATGTACTATCATTTAGAGTTATTCAGTTTCAAATTCTTAACCTCAACTTAGGTGACGATGATCGGGAATTCCAATTCAGATATCAATGTAAATCCAAGACGAGTCAAAATAGTGCGGCATTAGATACGGAAAACACTTTCCTTCAGTCTCTTGCATTACTGGCTCAAACAGGAAAAACATTGTATGAGAACAAGGTTTTTGTGGTAAAATAACGTTTTTGTTATTTGGTTAGGGGTTTCACAGTTTCCTCAAGAAGATAATTTGAGACTTAAAGTTAATGAAACGAAAGATGACGAATTTAACACTTAGAGTCTAAAAGCAATTGTTTTTCGGAATCTTTTTCTACTTTTTCTTACAATTAGATCGACCTCCTTCTTATGCTATAACTTTTTTTTCATGTTATCTTGACAATTAGAAAAGAGACCCATAAACATGCATCAATTTTTTAAAAATGTATTCATTTTTCTTATTTCTTTTGTAGGGTTCACGATATCCTAAATTTGAAACAATGGTTACCAAGGTGGTGTGTTACTCGTTGTTCTTTGTAGCTACTGTAATTCTCATCAGTGCGCATGCCTCTGCGAAACCATTCAGCGACGAAGACACAGGTACTGAATATACTCCTAAGGAGCAGTAAGGCTCTTTGCATTGTGATTAGTTAAGGTAGTTCTGACGCTTTGTAGGGCTCTAATGTCACTAAGGTGATCTGCTGATGACAGAATCTGACAAGAAGAATAACTTGAGCCGTAGATGCAGTTCAAAAATGTAGAATTGATTGTCACCGGTTATCTGTAACTGAAATCCTTTTTCAAGGATTTCAGTTACAGGAAAAAGCAGCAAGTTAGACACATTTCAGTGGTTTCTTTGTTCCTTTAGAAGAAATCTTGATACAAATAGTGAATTTGCAATAAATCTTATTTCAAAAAGTGGATGTAAAAAGGAGTGGCCAAATGCAATCTAATTTGCTCCTAACATGATGCTCAGAAGTTCAGTTCCTTCGAAACTTCATTTTTTTCGAGAGGATTTTCGGCGTTCCTTTAATCGCAATTAATCTGTTAAAATCAGCTCGTTACATGCAATCAAGATAACAATAAAAAGAAATTGTAACCACTCGGAAGGTGTTACAAATAACAGGACCCTAGGAAAGATATTATTATTATTATTATTATTATTATTATTATTATTATTATTATTATTATTATCGGGGAGAGCACGTTGCAGCATTGGAACTACCAGGGACTTTTATTGTCCAAACTGGCAATTAGAATCATTAACAACTATTCACTGAAATAGAGGTGGCTAGATAATCAATAGCCTCTAATTGGCGCAAAAATAAGCACGGATATTTGTCCGTGGACATTATCTGTTCCAAGAGTGAAGCTCGAGGAAAACTGTGTGCTTCGAGGAACAGATAATGTCCAAGGAGCATAAGGGCATGCTTTTGCGCAAAATAGGGGCTATTGTGTGAGGAAAAGTTTACGAAAAGCTTACTGGCTAATATTTTTTCTTTGGAGTGTTCTCTGCTACGACTTTATGAACAAATAAATATTTTCCTTTTTCTGTAACAACAGCAAAACGCTCTCCCCTCTTAAATTAAATTCATACGAAGACTTATCATAGTGAACGTAAGGTTTGAAATTAGGGAATATCACTTGGGTGATATCCTCGGATATCCGCCGGGTTTATTTTGGGGTATATTCTGTCCCGTTATGCGTTTAGACCAATTGCGCGCGAGCAAAAAACCCTGACTTAATGGACCATATTTACCGAGCCCTAAAGCGATGAGGTAAATATCCACTGCTAGCCACTGACACATAGGTGAATAGTCATTTATGTTAATAACAAACAGTGAGATAACAGCACAAAAAGATGATTTTAACTCATTTATTCCTTACTATTACAATAATTTCAAGAGAAAATCCCTTGCGAGTTGCTTGGAGGTGAATAGCAAGGGATATTCGGAGTTTGAGTAGCCAATCAGAACGCGCCTTAAACGCTATCCATCGTAATGACGGCTATCTTGCAGTAAGGGGGAGGGGGGGGGGGTTGGGAAGAGGCACAACCTTAAGCCGATTCAATGTGTAACCGATTGAAGAGCTCAGGATCCCTCGACTACGCTGCCAACGCTGGAATAGAGTAATATTAAAAACTATGACTATTAACAAAATTTTCTTCTCTTACTAACAATCAAACAATGACTCATTTTTGTTTCAGAGGATATCGCTTATTACACAGATGACGCCATATTAGCCGATAGTAAGTCCAATTAATTTCTTTATTCGTCCAAAGACAGAAAATTTCTTAATCTGTGTGTGCTGAATGAAATAGGTTACCAAATATTTCTTCTGGTTAATTTTGTTTAAAACTCTGTCCATTTAGGTATCACTCACGCATTAAATTAATTCTCTACTGTGCAGGTCCACCTAAACTAAGAATGAACAGGCACGGCAAGCGAGAATACTCCACGTACGTCACAAACGACTTCAATTCAGCTGACAGTAAGTAAACAAACTTTCAAGATACCAGAATTCGACTGTTTTGTATTGCACTCAGTGATTTTCGAGCCCTTGAATCTTGCAATTTGTACAAAAACCGTGACGTTGTGTTCGAAAAAAAGAGGAAAAAAGAAAAAAAAAAGAAAGAAAAACCGAGAATGATTTGATTGATAAAAATGTAATGGGAGATTATTTTTGGAAGAAAACGTACTAAGCCCACGGGTTACTAATTTTTAAAAGGAAGCAACAACAACCAAGATATCACAACCGACAACATACTTGCTTAAATCTAGGATTCCCGTAATGACTCAGTTGTCTTTTTGGATCAAATGGAAAAAAGACGGGTCCCATTTTTATTTTAACTCCAATGTTCACCCTTTTCCGCGTTGCTGATCCTAATGCCCCTTATGCCTCAAAGACCCTAACACTTGGCTAACTTGTCACCAGCCCCCCTCCCCACCCCCGAACCAGAGGCAAAGAGTCTGGCCGTAGGCGAGGAACCAGTTTTTCTTCTCTCTTTTTGGTGCCAACCTTCAACTTCTCTTTTCCATCATCACCTTTATCCTGATTAGGTCCTCAAAGAAAGCTACGCATGAATCGCCACGGAAAATAAGAAAAAAAAGGCAAAAGGTGAGCCAATAAGGAAACGTAATTTACAAAACCAATTTGTTTTCAAAGCCAGTCATGATAACCCTAACCCAAACCCTAGGAGTTTAACTCTTAGAGGCCAACACGTGCATAACTACCATTGTTTATGACTTGTTTCTGTCTCATCGAGTCATTTAGAGTGGATGGTACGCTAGTCCATAAGTCCTGACTGTTTTCAATACCCATTTATAGTCCAAGGTGACTGAGAGAATCTCTCTTACAGAAACAGCTTGGCCAGCCCAGCTCAGAGCAAAACACGACCCGGTCTAAGCTCTCACTTGGACCTCCAAGGCATCTCTCACCAGCTACCTGATCCTGACCAACAAAAATAGCTGCATTTACAATTCATTATTGACATTTGGTCGATTGTTCTATTCAGTGCGAAATCACCCTTTTCCCGTTTGATGTGACTATGAACTTCATGGTAAACCCATGATAGGCCCAGGTGCCTCTTTCTATTATGCAAATCCTTTGCACCAGTTCTATTCAATCTCCCCCTCCCTCATACCTTACCCTCCCTGTCTCAGACTACCACCACCCCTCAAGGTTAACTCTGTCTTCCCCTTTTTTCCCTCCAGGACTGTAACATACGTACTTGGAGCAGACGGGGTGAGGGCATAGAACACATGACGGCATCATACAAATAACATTTATTAGTCACGGTAACACTGAATAAAAAATGAGAGTAGGTTGAACTTAATGGTAAAACGTTACAGATAAGAATGTTGTAAGTTATCAGAAAAATAAAGAATTGTCGTGAAACTAAGAGGATGAAATCTTACAGAAATCTCCACGCTACTATCGATATCATGATAAGTCTTTAAAAAAAAATATCTGCATTGTAAATAGGCAAGATTGAGCGAAGCTGGTTGATTAACCTTTCCAAAAGATTTACACCTCTGTGTGCCAGTCATTTCTTACAATTAGAGTCCCGAAATTTTGGTGTTGAATCAGAAACTCTTTCCTGATTGATGTTTCCTCTCCTTTCCTTTCTACCAATCACTTTCCTGCTTAAAACGATAACTCGAAACAGGGTCTCAATGAGGTGATGACTTTTACGGCTAACGGTTAAAATTCCGTCCAAGTTACGGCTAACGGTTACTATCTTTCCATTGTGGTCACCAGAAAAACTATTTACGGTTAATTTTTTTCTACGACTGACAGCTAATTTTTGATATTTTTTACGCCTAACGGCTAAATCTCTCGGTCATTTTAGGGCTCACGATGAACCTCATTGAGACCATCTAGAAATTAGTTTTTGGTCAATAATCTCCAATGATATACCTTTTACACATCGTCATTTTCAACATGATGGACCTTGGATTGAAACTTTCTTTTTCTAATCAAACTCTAAAAACTTATAAACATTTCACAGTTTTACAATTTTGGTCAATTGCCAACAGGAAAATGAGGTTCTTTGTCGTTTTATCTCCGTTCACGGCCAACCCATACGATGGTACGAGCCTCTTTAATCTCTTCCACTCTTCCTTGCATCTCCCGCTTTTCAGCGTCTAAAATTACCACTGCGTCCTCGCCCGTGGCGGGTGTTGCTAGGTAACGGGCGTCAGACTCGCAGCCAATTACGATTGGACGCTCGGTGTGGATCCAGTCCCTCGTTCCCGACGGTTTGCCTACTGTCGAAATGAACTTAATTATTTTTATGCCTCTGGGATCTACATGCAGCACAATTATCGTCGGTTGATCTTTTGACGTCACATACACGTCATAGCCAGCGTCTCGTGGCCTGAAGGCGAGGTGACTTAGCAGGATGTCGGATTCTATATCATTAAATAAGTAAATCTGCCCCGCTGGATCGATGTACTGCGTTAAAATCGCGTAAAAATTCAATGTTATGACAAAACTTCCATCTGGAGACACGAATGGTGTCCCAAAGTTAAATGAGTTTATCGCCTTGATTTGTGTTTCTCTTAGATCCATTACCATTTGTGCTTTAGAGTCACGTTCCTCGTTTGTGTAACACTGGACGAAAGCGTATTTGAAAGGTTGTGATAAAACTAAACCGATTGTTCCGTAGCACTGGTAATCACTAAGATTGTAAAACTTGGAATACTGCTTGGTAACCAGGTCCACTTCATGAATGCCTGGTTCCATTATGTGAGTGACGTAAGCATACTTGCTTTCCTCGTTTGTCAACTCGCAGTTCCCTGCTTCAAAGAAGTCATGCGCTGGCCTGGGAATGCCATCAATCATTTGCGCCTTGATTGATGAGTGAAGAGTCACTTTACCAGCTTCGTTTATCACAGAAAGTGTTCCGATGTCGTCTTCGTCTTCAGTGAGCACATCAAGGGAACTGTTTCCCCAGCTTAGGATCCATACAGTGTCCAGAGATCTTAAAAATGGGAAAGGAAAAAAACGTTTCCACAATAAGAAGAATTTTCAATTCGGATGGCTTTGGTTTGGCTTTCCCTTGCTGTGTGATTGGTCGTGAAAAGTCGCGCCACTTTCTCAACCAATCAGATTCAACAGACTAGCTCCAATTTCGACTTGCCAGCTCGCATTTTCCCGCGCTTCAGACGCGTTTGCTTGTTATAATTTTTCATGACTACTTGTGATATTTTCTCTCTTTTGATTTGCTGTTATGATAACTTTGGTTTTGTTTTCATGACGCTCGCTCGATATAGCACGTTCTTAGGGAGATTTATCCCGGTTAAACAATTTGTTTTCCTGTCAGTTTACTAGTTTGTTTCATTTCCTTTAAAGCCACAAAAGAGAGACAGAGCTTTTTCGCCGTCCATTTGTTTGGCAAAGTGAGTCAAATCATTTAAAAAAAAAGTAGAAAAAGTTTAGAAAGGAGAGGAAATAACAACGAAGTACAGCGCGAAAAAAATAAAAGGTTTCTTTTCATTGATTTCCTTCTAGCTTTTCTTTTGTTGTATAAGTATCTGAGCGGCATATTTCGTTTTCGTTTAGAGGTACGTTTGAGTTCGCGTACACTGGAAATGACATCACTGTCACTCTTGCTAGTAACGCCTATAAAAATCACAACATTTCTTTACCTGAAGTACTTCAATTTGTAAGGAAAGTCCTCGGTGGGCACTTCTTGGACGAATCTTTGCGCGGCAATATTCAGCACAAGGATTCTACGCCCTAGGAAATCCGCTGCGTAGATGTATTGCGAATTTACACTCACTGCTCCACCCCAGTTACAGGGTCTCTCTCGGGTCCCGGTACAAATGGACGATGATGTGCCATTTATGACGTGATCAGCGCTAATGTGAGTGACAGTGGAAGCTGTCTTGGGATCGATGACGTGAACACCATCGTTTGCGAAGACGTAAAACATGTGACTCCCAGGAATAGCTAAGAAAAAAGTGATTCGTAAGAACTCATCAGTTAGACAAGAAATGCATTCTCTTTCCGCTAAGTTTTCTATGTGAGTAAAAAGAAGAAAATATTTTGTTTTGCCAGGAGGCCGTTACTTATGGGCTCCTGGTTTTGCTTTAAATCCCTATGTGGCGATCAGCTCGTCTTCAAGTCCGAGTGACTTCCAGACTTCTTTCTTGCTTATTCATTTACTTATTTATTCATTAACGATATTTATGCAAGCTGGCCCAGTTCAGCTTCAAGCAGGTTTGACTGGGGGCCTGTTTATGATATATTTAGTAAAACAAAATGTATTTAGAAACACAGAATACAAAAGGAGCCCACAACACAAATTACAAGTCACACATAAGATATACAATATACGTTACATTACAATATAGTGTATTATATCAATACATAGATGAGGTTTGAGAAGTTTCTTAAAGTTAGGCAGTGAAGTTATGTTTCGCAGTTTATTAGTTAGAGTATTCCACGCCTTGGCACCTTTGTAGCGAAAGGAACGTTGATATTTCGATGTTTTAGCCGAGGGTCAATCGCTAAGGTCTCTATATCTTGTATTTTAGGCATGATATCTTTCTGTCTAACTGTCTATTTATCTGACTCTCTGTCTGTCTGTGTGACTCTCTGTCTGTCTGTGTGACTCCCTGTCTGTCTGCCTGACGCTCTGTCTCCTTACTAATCTTCGAAGTCTATTAGTAGCATACAAAGTGCATACAATGAGCAACAATGTGAAGCGATGGAAAAAGACGCCAAGACGAAATGTACCAGATGATGCAAAACTGCCATAGAAGTTGCTGGTTCATGTTACATTCCCGACCAATCAAAAATCTGTTCAAGCGATAGGTTTTATTTTGGAGACAAAAAAGGACTGCATACCATTAGGATACCCTTCAGCAGTAGTAGGCACTGAGAGAGTAAGCTATGAATCAAGCGCATGGGCGCCAATTAGGGCTTGAAGCAGGTCCTTTTCGACTGGATTCCAGCGCGATAGAGTTTTAATGATAATTTAAAATGAAAGTACTTTCACGCTACTTGCAAAACTTACCCGGGGCTACTTTAATTGGCTCCTGGACACTGATCTCAACCTGCTTACGGTCCATTCCAAAGTCATTGGAGGCCTCGCATGAATATAAACCATTATCACTTTGTGTGAGCCCCTTTATAACAAGCTCCCCATCTTTTTTGGTCAAAACACGATTGTTGGAGTTCAACTTTACATCGTCTTTTCGCCACGTGATCGCAGGAACTGGATAACCGTGCACTTGGCATCGGAGAGTAAGATTTGAACCCGACATCGGTTTCTCGTCATTTTTTACCATAAAAACCTTTGGTGTGCTTCCTGCAAGAATAATGTAAGACTCCGTCACAAATCATACATTACGGTTCCTTCGACGAGTGGGTTGGCCGCGCCACACTTCTTCAAGCGTCTTTTTAAGTTGCCGAGGCCGGTTAATCCATAATTTCGAACTCTTTCAGTACCATTATTTTAAAAAAAATCCTACAGATTTTTGCTGAAAAAAAAAACAAACAAACAAAGGCCTACTATACCGAAACTCCATGAAAATTCATATTTAGAGAGAAATCCATCCACATCTTTATCCGCAGTGTTTAACCATTGTGTCGAATGGCAAATTTGTAAGAGTTCCTTGATGTTATTGTACATAATGTAGTCGGTGACCAGACTTTTTAACTCATAACCACTGATGCTGTGATCGTTGTCTTTATCGTACCGGAAGAACAACTCGTCAATCAGGATGTTTATCGTCACCTTCCTGTGTATCTCTCTTTCAAAGGTTTCCAGTATGAGTCGTTTCATTTCGGATAATTTCTCCTCGGGGCAATCTAGGATAGAAAAACAATGAGGCGCATGTGTGATCACCGGGCTTAATCAGAGTTTCCGGCTGTCACAGGCAATTAAACAGCATGAACTTTTTGTCTTGGCTAATATAAAATCATATTGAAAAATACAAGCCCACCCTTCGTTTTAGCCTTTTTCTTCAAGCAAGCCTTCTCCCAGTCGATGCCTATCTTCTTGCCAGTCAAACAAGCGGATCTGTGCAGTTCACAATGATTCACATACAGGATTCCATCCTTTCCACACACAGGTTTGTGCCTTTTTTTGCATCGTGACGCACAAACACACCGTTCAGTATTGTCTGATTGGACAAGACATTCTTGACCCGAAGGACAATTCCGTCGACAACCTGTAAAATTAGAATAAAGCTGCGTAAAGCTGCGACTGAATATTTTCAGGTTTAAAGAAAGATCAAAATAAAATCTGCACCAGGAAAACCAGTCTTTTTCAAATTTAACTTAGTGATTTTGCGCAATATATCTCACAAACCTTCATTTCTCTTTAACATTTCCTCGGGAAAAGTTTTTAAACAAACGTCCATCAATTTTCTTTCTGTACCATCATTAAACTGTGCCACTCCATACAATAATCCTTAGTTTTGCGCTATCTAAAAGCATTTTATGAGCTACAGGAGACTGTTCACTTTTAGAAAGCCAAAGAGAATTACTCGGGAACCGAAAAGGCAGAGAGTGATTTTCATGGCACAGTATCAAGGGATATTCTTGCTTCAAAGATGCATTTAGTAAATAAAGGTAATAATAACTTACTTTGAGTCTTAGTCAGATTTGCTTTCTTTTTTTTGGCATCTCCATGGACCTGTTTGACAAAAAAATGTGATTTTCATTTTTGTGACAGAGACAGTGGGCATGGTCATTTTGCTAATACTTCATTGATGGTTAGTTACATTTAACATGAAAACCAACCCTTGAAAATATCTCAGAGCCCACAGCTTCCACTACAAAACATTTACTTCCAGCACTGCCGCCATTTTTCATCTGAAAGCCTTTTTACTTGTTTTCATTGATTGAGAGTCAGGTCCAAGCTTTCAGAGACAACGATTTCCGCGCCCGTGTAGCTGGACAATTGCGCTCGTGATCGAGACGATTAGCTATATGTTGGCTGATCAGACAGACAGCTGTCAATCAAAGAACATAAAAAGGTTTTCTATCGGCTTTCAATTTTTCGATAAAACAAAAATAAAAGCAACCAAATGATTAAGACATCACAAAAGGAGAGAAAGCTTTTTAAAAAAAGGCATCATTTTCATAAACTCAAACAAGTTAGAGGGCAAATTTAGCTGTGTTTTTTTTAGCAAAATTTAGCTGTGATGGCTGTGTTTTGAGGAAATTTTCAATTTACTTAAAACCAATTCTGGTCAGATAACTTCACCAGAAGATTCCAACCTCAACTGGTATCGTTTTTAATAAATGAATACCTTGGATGCTATTTAATTATTCATGCACCTGAGCAAAGGACTTAATTGTTTGATAGACAAGTTGTAAAAGTCATTTACTTTCTCTTTCAAATATATATTCATCCATCAGTCAGAGATGAGAAACATTCTATATTTTTTGAAGGAAAAGAAATCTTCTATAGAAGAAGAAAGGAAAACAGACGCAGTTAGAGCTTTTATTCCCTTTCATATCAAATTGGCCAATGATGCATAATTTATGACATCCCGAAGGGTAAATCACTTTTATGCAAATTCAAACAAAATTTCGATTAAAAGTCAAGGCTTTTTGAAAGACTCGTTTAATTACGAAAGAGGATGAACTATAATATTTCCTATAAGAGACAACTGTGGAAATTCTAGTTCTCTTTTAGGTTCCTAACGCATCAACTTTGCAACAGACTTATTCACCTTAAGGGTGCTTCCATACCTGACTGTTGTTCCTTCAAATAATTTACCGGAAAAAAAAATAAATGTTCGATTGGACAGTTTTCTTGAAAGAGTTAATACAACCTATAAGTTGCTTTTGCTTTGTCACCAGAAGCTCTTTCGGAAAGAAAAGCTATATGCAGGTTAGAGGCGTATTTCAATAAAATTCTCGCTAGCCTGATGCAAGACTAATTGCAGTGCCGAACTGTGACTGGCTGATTTTTTTGGAAACAAAACGAAGGCTTGTTAAGAAGTTTGCAATTAACATCGTTTTCAGCTGTTACTAAAATATCTAGACACAGAATAAAACGATGCAACCGAAAGAAAATGTAAAACTGATTCCCTAGAGTTAAGGTTTTTTTCTAACACGATTTCAGCAGTCAAGAAAGTCACATCCGCAGTCGCGCGGGCATTCGCAAAAATGCTTCGTAATCACTTCAAAAACTGTTTGCATTCTACAACACGGGGAAGAAGCTTACCGTGAGAAGAAGAAATACAACCGTGGTCATCAAGATTCTACAATTCATATCTGCCAGCCGTGCGGGGATACAGATACAAAACGGCAAGATGGATCTATTTCTCTTCGCAACAGACGAATTTCGAACGCGTGCCTAGCGCAGCGAAGCGTATTCCTCGGGCACGCTGGAATGTGCCTGTTTACCCAATCCAGTGACGAGGAAGACTTCTTTTTGAAGCACGGGACATGTGGTTGATTACCTTGTTTAGTGTTGAGTATAAATGGTTTTGCACTGCGTTGAGAAAGTAGATAAAGACATTACAACCAAGGCTCCCGCAGCGTTGAGAGCACAGTTTGCGCGTGACTAAAAAGTAAGCAAAATTGATCGTGAGATGAATACTTCAAAGCTATTTGCATAAATACTTTGTTGATTGAAAGAATAGTCAAGACAGACATTTCTCTAATAATCTCTGTAGACATAATAAAAGTAATAGAGTCGGCCTCTCGTACTAACCAGCGTGGGTTACAGAGGAAGTTCGATTTTTTTAGCGTTGAAATTAATTTTTGTAAAATTGAAAGTTTACTTATCGAAGGGTTTCCGCTAGTAGATTCAACGCAGGTGAAGATGTGATGGGAAATGATTTCATTTGACCTAAAAAAACGTATCTTCAATCAAGGAACTAGGTATCTGTGTTCGTCGAAACAGAACTAACCTGACAGAATAAATGAGGCATGCAACGATCACTCGTGTCACGTACCTAGTTTTAATGGTTATGAAAAAGCTGAGAGAAAAATTGGAAACTAGAGATCGATTGAAAACAAAATCATGCGCATCGCAATAAGGAGTTTTAAATCAACACTTCCGGCATCCGTCGCTCAGAGGTGATTAATGAACCCACGGTGTGTTCACTTTTTACGAGTAGACTATTTATGACCGCAATCAATCTTGTGCGGTCACTGACGTGTATCATTTGCTATCTCAAAATTAAACAGGTACAGAATGATATAAACGAGGACTATTTATAACTACCTACCGATTTCTTCAACTATCAGAGAGCTTCGAATGATTAAAAAACCCGCCAGCTAATACATAAAATTGATTTTACTGCCACGTATGGCATCGCAAAGATGCCCATTTAGTCATTTATTTGTGGTTTATTCACCATATTTTACATCTCTTCCTTTAATTAAAATTATAATCTTAAAAGTGACTCTTCCAAGATAAATTATGAAACACGATAAACGTGATTGTCACGCGTGGGACACAAGAAACGTGATGGTCACGCGTGGAACAAAGCTGAGGAGCCTGGCTCTTCTTGCTGAGCTCCGCAAGAGTTGGGTTTGTGCAGATCAAAAATATTCACAATGATATTTCCAGTGTTTCTTGTCTCCTTTCTCCTGATCGCTCAGAATAATGCTCTTACTGGTAGAGGAAGAGATAAAGACAGCCCATTTCGAATGAACAAGCTCAATATTGTTTGGCAGAAAGCTCAAAAGAAGATGTCTGTACAAAAGTTGGCTGACTTACGTCGTTTACTAGAGCTACAAGACAGGGCTGAAATAAAATGGAAGGATGTAAAAGCCTACGGAGGAGACGAAGACGGGGAAATGGAGGCCACGTTGAGAAGAAAGTTTTACCGAATACTGGAGCAGTTTGGCTTGGAGAAACATTTTGATGGGGTGGATGAGGGAAACGAAATTCGTGACAACAAAGCCAGCCGTGGCGTTTTCGGTGATAAACGGTTGAGTGAACTTTGGGAATCTGCCAAGAAACACGGTGGGTAATGATATCGTTTATTTCGAGAGCAAAAAATCACATAAAGGAACTTTCAGTCATGTTAAACACTGCATTATTCACACTTCTAATGCAACACAGTTGTGATACATTGAAACCGTAGAGTGAGCAGAAGTGTGTTTGGTAATCAAAAACTAATTAATCTTTAAGATGATGTTTTTAAAAATATCCAAAGTTAATTAAAATGCGCCTTTTAATGCTAGGTTAACAAGACGGTAATGGCGAAGTTTTTTGCTTGTTTATCTATAAAATGAGACACAAGCATTTATGTTGAAACATCGGCAGGAGTTGCGGTTTCAAATTAACTTTAGTTTTACATTCAATTTCTTTTGTTGACTACAAAAATAATTTGTTATGAAGGGACTTCGAATCACGAGGTGCAGCCAATTAAAAGTGGGTGTAAAATGGAATAGAAGGAGTCCTGGCGGGCACAGAAGACATAATTGTAAAATATCCTTCCTCTGGACTGGGATGTTATTCCATTGCAGCATTTGTATAACTGAAGTATGCATTATTGACCAACTGGGGTCAAGATGGCTGGATATTGATCAAGTTTTTTTGTGTTTTTTTTATGGACATGACAAAGTTGCAGTCCATAAAAACCAGAAGAAAAAAAAAGAACAAGGCATCTCATCCAGTCATCCAGCCATCTCAACCAAACAAGCTTGGTCAATAAAGGATGTATTATTGAGAGGGCTGTTTATGTTTTCTCTGTTATGACTATCTTCTGCAGCTTTTTGATTCTCCATTGCCAACAACATAAAAAAATTATAGACATTATATTAAGTCTGCTCTAGGCAGTTTTCTTCTTGTGCAGGATCAAAGCAGGCAATCCCAATCTGGCAAGAATTCGATTCTCCATTGCCAACAACATCCAAAAATTATGAACATTGTGTTAAGTCTGCTCCAGGCAGTTTTCTTCTTGTGCAGGATCAAAGCAGGCAGTCCTAATCTGGCAAGATGGGCCCATCTTGCCTGCTCGGGTAGCCAACTAGAACACAAGATGCACTTCATATTGCCCACAGGCACTGTCAGCAATATAATTACACATACTAATGTTGTTAGTCCAGAAAAATAGTATCAATATATATACAAATGCACATCCATACCTGTGGACATCTGGGGCATGCATATTTACGAATATACATCAGTAATAAGACTGAGTGGAGTCAAGTTTGGTCTGTAATTATTTGAGAGATGAAAAAAATTGCATACACTGTCCAAATTACAGGCCTAAACTAACATTATAACATAGCTAGTAAATTTTTCTAATCAAATTCAATTATGCAAGCGTGCTTCATATTCCTACTGTGCACGCTCATGACATCAGCAAACAAATCCCTTGCGAAAAAAAAATTTTCCATCGGGTTGAAAATGTTATAAAACAATTGGTTCATACATCAGCTGTGCGTTCATCAAGATATGAAGCACATGGGAAGTTTGGAGAGCACTCAAGAAGCTAGAGTTGCTCTCGGCTCTGCCTCGAGCAACTCTTACGCATCTTTCATGCTCTCCAAACTTCCCACGTGCTTCATATCTCGATGAACACACGCTGACGTATGAACCAATTGTTAACTGTCGTATTAGTGCTCAAATCAGTCTAGTGATAGCCACTCACATTTGAGAATTTGTTTTAGTTTTTAGCAGGCAAGATATGCATTTAACCCCATACTATTCTATAACAAAGCAGTGGTTCTAAAGGCAATCTATGGTTTTTGCCGTTGTTTTCCATTATCTTAGAAGTTAATGCACGATGAAGTATGACAGTGTGTGAAATCTTGCCATAAGCATCTTTAGTAGTCAGTTTACCTGGTTTGAGAGAGTTATAAAAGACATTTAAAATTGTGAATATTGACAGTAGCATGGTGTGAGAGTCCCATCATAAGGGAAGGTGTCTTGCCCTTTTAAAGTAAATCCTTGGTCTTTTGCCTGAACTTGACATGATTACCCTTAAAAATCATTCACCACAGTCTTAAATGGCATGATTACCCATGACCTTGAGTGACCTTGACATGATTATTGTATAATCTGTGGCTAGATTATATCCCAGGCAATGATTTAAAAAATTCACCATACACTTTTGGCCAATCAGAAAAGAGATAGTTAGTTGAATGTATTGTTATAGATGGGATTACACAGGTCATTGATTCACCCACTCCTGGAAGTGCTCTTCAAGGAAAATACACTCTACATCTCTGTGCAGCTTGGTTTCTAGCCTTACAAGCTCTTATAGTCATTGAATCCAGTGTGTTATTAAATTCTTTCTCCCAAGGTGTTTTTTTATTAATGTTATTTTTACATTTATCACTTTAGGCAAATTTAACTCTGAGGAACTTGGTGATCTTCAAACTGAATTTAACCATCACAGAGACAAGCTGAAAGAATACAACCACCTTCTCAAAATCTTGGTAGACCAGGATGAAATCTCAGAAAATTCAGTTTTCTCGAAAGCAAATTTCAAGGAAGAAGAACTTAAGAAATTACGAGATAAACTTCAAGATACCCATGCCTCCCTGAGCGATAGCTTTGCAAAACTGAAGGAGAAGGCAACAGGAGAGAATGTGCGAGGAGAATTCCGTGACCCTCGTGTGAGTGAGTTGTGGGAGAGAGCACAGAAAGCAAAATTTACCGAAGAGGAACTGGATTCCATTAAGGTAAGTTGTTGAGTTAGGGTAAAGGCCAAGTGGCCCATGAAGCAGTGGAGCTTGTCTTAGTTTCCATGCCATGAAGTCATTAGGGGTATTGCTATGCCCCTGGAGTGCCATAGACTATGGCAGGTTTTCCCTCTTTAAGTTTGCTGGTACCCATTTAAACAACCTGAAGAGAAGCACTGTTGGAACATTAAAATGTCTTGCCTAGGAACATACCGTAATGCAATGACCTGGCAATGTCTTTGAAAGGTTCCTAAGCTTGTGCTTAGTTTAATCCTTTGACCTATAAGAGTGACTAGCTTCTAATTTCTCCTTACAATGTCACTGCTGAATGACACATTAAGGTGATGAGAATAAACAAAGTGATCACCAACTAAAGAAGTTCTTGATTGTTAAACAGTGTTCCTTGTTCAACACCTCAGGAAATGTATAGAGAACAGTATGGAGAATATGCATAGTGATGAGTGTTATGAGTTAATGTGTGTGTCGGTAGTTCTATTCTGGAAGAAAGTTAAGTAAGAACAGGGGTCTTAGTTACTTTTTTCACAAGTGGCTGCTGATAGGGGAGACTAGTTGGCTGTGAGCATTAAAGGGAAAATCAAATTTGATAAAAGTTGTCTTTAACCCTTTAAACCCTAAAAGCAATTTTCTCTTATCAGTATCACCCCTAAAACAAACACTGAGGTCATGAGAATAAAGGAAATGATCACCAACTAAAGACACTCTTGACTGTTAAACAAATTCTCTTTGTCAGTACCATATGAAATGTATTGAGAACATTATAGAAAATTATGTTTGGGTGTAATGGGTTAATTAAAAGACTGAGGCAGGTGAGAAGCTTTGTAGACTCTAATTGGCAGTGGGCTGGTAACCAACATCATTGAACCTGTGGTTGCATAAATTGCATTTTTAGTCAACAGAAAAATTATCTGAGAGATGGATTTCAAGCAATAAAATTAAGGGCTGAAAAATGTTGTTTTTATTTATTGCAGCAAGAGTTGTACCATTTTGATCACAAGATAATGAAACACAAACATTTCAGAAAAGAAGCTGATGAGTCTCGTCGTCTTGTTGATGATGGTCAGCACCATTTCAAAGAGAAGCACGAAAAACTGGCAAAGAAGGCAGAAGAACATGGAAAATGGGTAAGAGTTTTGATCTTAACAGTTGAAATATAAATTTATGCATTACCTTTCATTTAACAATCATTCAGAAAAACCATTACAGTGGTCCTATTAAAACGTCTTTTGATTAAAGTTGCCATTTGGTAAGCCAGGTTATCTCCCTGTGTCGCAGTCTGGCCTTGTTATTGTTTATACAGGTCCCTCAGCCTCAAGCTGAATTTAAATATTGTAAATGCATACAATACATGCATACATCAAAATCAAAAATGATTGCCAGGGGAAAAAATTTTGTGTACTTTAGCATTATAGCCAACATTCATTTTTGGAGATATGTGTGTTATCTCAAGGCTTCATGCTCAGGCAACAAAGGCACAAGAGGTAAAGTTTTTTAGAAGAAAACAGCGTGAGTGATACCTTTAGTATTTAAATGATATTATCTCACTTTCAACCACAGATCATAAAATTTAAATTATAAAAACCATGCAACTTGCTTCTTGACCTGCACACAGGTCACTAAAATGGTGACTTTTGCTGCAGATGTAGTGGACAAAAGTTTTTCCCAGCTGCCATGCTGACCAAAACGGTTGCAGCTTGGAGCTCTTCATGAAATTTTTTTGTGTTGTGACTAATCACCCTGGAAAGAGATAACTGGAAAAAAACCACAAAACCTCAAATGATACAGCTCTTAAAGTACAGTTTCCTCATGTGTTATTGTGACTTCCACAGGTAAAGAAAATGCACTCCACATTGATGGACAAATTGGCTGCAAAGAGCGAGTTGTAGTTAACTGTTAGTTAGTCCCACTCTAGTCTGCTTTCTGTTATGTTATCACTAAAAGTTAACTCTTTAACTTCCTTCCATGAGTGACCAAGACAGAATTTCTCCTTACAATATCAATACAATATCAACCAGATAGGTGATGAGAGTAAAGAAAAATATCAATTTGGGGATAATTAGTTGATCCAATACTAAATTCTCTGAACTAACTTTATAAGAATTGTATGGTTGGCATTTAGGAGAATTACAAATTTGATCTGGGAGTTAAAGGGTTAGGGCAGGGCAGAATGCTGAAACCTAAATTATTTTAGCTAATAATTAAAATAGATGCAGGGGGTTAGTTTTGAAAGGAACTGTGGTGCTGGGTTGGTGGGGGATATAACAAAGAATTTTGTTTTATCAACTGATTTGGCAATGTAAATTGGCCACTGACATCTTAAAATGTCAGCTTAAGAGACTCTACAGAGGCCAATTTACATGTATCATTCATCAACTCAGTACATAAGACCAAATTAAGTAGTAACCTATCTGCAAAATTTGTATTTTTGTAAGAAAAAACTTTAGAACAAGTAAACTGTTGTTATAGCGAAATAAATTGTACCCCAGAAAAGCTCTCTAGGCAAGACCTCTCTTCAAAAGGTTATTCTGCATGCTTTTTTGTTAAATTTAGATTACCTCACTGTGTAACCTGTTATCAAACATCATAACAAAAACTATGCTCCTGTGTTTTTTTTAAATTGCATGTAGAAGGAAGTGTTTCCCCATTCTAAAATCATAATGAACAAGTTGCGTAGAATAGAGATTTGGTTTTGAAGTTTGAGGAAACTTTTTTTTACTCATTTTATGGCTATGTCTATGGTTTTGATTGAGATTATAGTGTTTTTTTGTGTTACCATGTCAAAAGGACTTTGTGCTAACTGAACACTTAAATGCACTAGAACAAACTCTGTTGTAACTATTTTTGTTTTATTTTCAATCATCACACTTCTTGAAATATCTTCCACCATGTACATGCCATTTATTTCACAACCGTTGGTATGCATTCAACTGTACCTCAATGGCTGTCAGTGACATCAGTCATGTGACTGTTAAAAGCTATGTATGAAAGTTTAATGATAGTAGGCTTTTGCAGAATGATAACATGCTTGATAACAAATCTGCCATACAGGATGACAAATTGCTTGCTGGAACTAGTTAATTCAGCAGTTAGTCATTAAGGTGATTCCTCAGTATTGCATTGAGCATTCTGTACTGCACATAAAAAATCATGAAATCAGGCCAATAAGTGCACTTCATTCTAAGGAAATAGCATTGTTTTTCAATCAGTGGACCAGGTAAAGAAGTACATGTAGAGTGGTCTAATTAGCCCTTGAACAAGCAAGGAGACCTATACTTTTTATTGCATAATTTTGGAGTACAAATTATATACTTTAACTTGGAGAAATTAAATAAAAAATGAATCAAAGGGAAAAAAAGAGATAGGTAAAGGCTTTCTGAAGGCCTGTTACTCAACAATGCAAATTATAACCTTGAAAGTAATGACTTGAGGAATGTTTCGGGTCTATCTCATTTAAAATTGTGTCACTGTTTCACAAATTATATATCAAATTGTTCCATACCTTCAAAACTTTCTACCTATTAAGTTTTTCCAAGTGTTATTTTCAAATACCTTGCTTCTAGCTACCTCAAAAAGTATTGTGAACCAATGCAAGGAGGCACACAATTAATGCAAGTACAGGTATAAATGGGGTAAAAAGAAATCAGTAGGGAACATTTAAGAAAGTTTTAAAAAATATGCTATAGCTTTTTCATCTGAGGAATCACCTTAAGACAAATTTTTAATATGTGACAATGTAATTTGACATCCAGAATGAGAGAATGTGGTAGGCAGTAGGGAAACTACATTTTTATCAATGCTTATCTTATTTAACGTTTTTATATTTATGGCTCAGTTGGCAATAGTTGTTTTTGCCATTTTGTTCAGTAGTGAAATTCAGTACATTAAATACCAGTAAAAAATAGCTACTGTACATGTCATGCAAGTATTTGTTGCAAGAGCTTTTTGACTTCTTTGTAATAGTAAAATAGCAAATTCTAGAGTACACTGTACTCTTATCACTGTTGTTGTGCTAAAAAGTTCCCTTTCTTTCACTGAAAACTAAACTTACAATTCCTTGCTAAAACTAGAATCAATGTCAGTGTCTGACTAACTGTACACCTACCCCTCCCCTAACCCAACATTTACCTTAACTTGTTATCAGTTGACTGTTTTTGGGCTAGGGGAAGGGCAGGTGGCCAGTTACTGAGATACTAAAATTAGAAAATATGTACAAGTTGTTCACCTTCATGGTAATGGTTAAAATGTTTTCCATAATACCAGACTTTCTTTGTTTTCAATTCTAGTAAACACTGATAAAAGATCTCCTGTTTTAGTCACAAGCATGTTATTTCTAATGCTCCTTTAAATTTTCACCAAAAACACATTTCCTGTTATACATTTACATATCATCAATTTGCATGTCAAAATACAGCCTGTAAAAATATCCATTCTCCAATTTTGGCAAACCCCTTGTGTAAAAGACTGACATCAAAATTGTTAAGATCTATATAATTTTAATTCCCATAAAAATATTCTGAATTTGAACTTTGACACCTCTGACTGTGACCCTGATAGTTAATCTCTTTAGAAATAAATGATGTTTCCTTTTCATCAGAGATACATGTACAAAAGGAAGACAAGTGCATCATACTTGAAATAATACTTCATCTCAATCCCTTTGGATCAATGTTATTCCTTTCAACAACGTGCAGTGAAAATTAGATTTAATTTTTAATTTTGACAAGCGACAGTGGATTGTTATACTAACAGACACCTACATGTGAGCATCATAGATTAAAACCACCAAGCACAAGTTGGGATCTTGACCTACAGGATTCCTCCAAAGACACTGTGCCTTGGCAACAATGAAAGCAACACATCATGCAACCTTAACGTCATGCTATCTTAGAATATGCAATTTACAAGTAATTGAAAGGTGAAATAAAGAATGTAGCCAAAAAAGAAACCCCTCGGGCATCTCATAAGAAAAGTATAAATGATGCTTCACAAGAAGAGGTTTTAATCTATTTTGCTTTCTTGATATTATAAACAAAAATACCACTAAGAACAAAGTACACAGATGTTACAAGGAAGAGGATAATGTAACCAAGTCCTATATCACATCTCAGCTTCTCAAACATGTCCAAAATGATACCACCTGTGGGTGTGGCAATGGCTTGCGGCAGGACAAGGGCCTGGGAGAAAAAAACGCATGTTAATGCTCACAAAGGTAACACAAGAAAGTGTTAAAAAATCAAACATCAGTTCATATCATTCATTAACAACAATGACATCTGAATCATCCTCTAAAATTGTTTTTCTTAATCTTCACATCTCAAGATCCACACAAACTACACCAACATATATTTAAATTTTGAAACTGAATTTCTAATCACATCCACATTTGTGGCACATTCACATCCTTTCCAAAAAGGTAGAGAAAATTGCAATACTGCTGTTTATTATGAGAAGTGAGACTAGAGAAACCAGAGCAAAGGCAGTAAGGATAACATCAACAACCAACAATATTATTGCCACTCAAAATGATGTTTGGTCAGAGTATTAACTCTTTGACCCCTAAAGAGTGACCAGCATCTACTTTCTCCTCACAATATCACCCCTGAATCCCACATTAGGGTCACAAGAATAAAGGGAATGATCACCAACTTAGGAATCTCTTGATTTTTAAATACATTCTCTCTGTCAGTACCTTATGAAACATGTAGAGAACAGTATGGAGAATATGCATACTGATGTTAGGGTGAGGTTAGGGTGTATAGGGTTAAACCAAGGCAAACTGCAAAGAGGAGATGAATGCTTCACCTCAGTATATTCCCTTGAATCTCTGGTCATTCAGTTGTGTTAATGACCCCTGTTCATATGTTACCAAAGGAACCCCAGATGTCAAATCAACTCATGTTGAGTACATCTTATTGCAGATGAAACACAGGGACTGTTCCTCTCCAGTCTGAATGGATTTTCACTCAGCACTTGTGACTTATAAGTGAGAGGCTACGTTAGTAAAAACATGCTTTTAATTCAAAAACTTAAGTGAGCCCAACTTGTTTAGTTTAGCTTTATAGCACACTACCTGATGCCAAACAGCCAGATCCTTGGCTTTTTCTCTGTCATTAGGAAGAACATCCATCACAAGGGCAAAATCCACTGCACAATAAGCTCCAAAGCCAACCCCTGAGAGAAAACAACAAAGGGATGTTAAATTATACTGTTATTGTTAATGTGTTTGAACAAATAAAAATGTCTTGGCTGTGCTGAACTGTAGTGCCATACCAAAAGAACACTTAGATATGGCATGATATCTGATCAACTGCTCAAAAGTTCAGGAACTCAACAATTAAGTTGACATTCAGATTGCATCAAGTTTACATGACCTTTGCAAATGAGTAAAATGTCTTGATTTAAATCAAGTGACTCATTTCGCTGCAATACAATGACCAAGGGCCCCTTTCTCAAAAGTCCCAGCAACTTAACGGACCCATAACTATTTCCTAATCTTCATCCCTGATGGTCGTTTCAAAGGTTATGAAAACAACACACAAAACAAGCAGCTAAAGAAACAAATTAAATGAACTGGTGTTGAATTGTTTAGATTTTGATTTTAAAATATAGTTTCAGGATTATTGAGTTACTAGGACTTAACAGGCCTGAAACCATATTTCACAATCAAACAATGAAGATTAGAGAAGCAGGTTGTGGCACCCTAACCAATCTATTTTGCTTTTTTAGGTGTTAATTTTATTGTGTAATTCTCATAACTTTCAATCTGAAATTCCCATCTTGAATGAAAACAGAACAGTCTTTCCGCCCCCTTAAATTACCAGGAACTTTGAGAAACTGGCCTCAGGAGTGTTACTCCTCTACCTAGATGAGAAACTAATCCATCACAGGCTACCCCCACCTACCCTACCCCCCCTTCCCACTTGAATTTTATCAGGCTCATGAGTGCTCTAAACACTGAGCTACCCCCTCACCCATTGAAACTTTGAGTACACCTAAATGTTGTACTTACCAAATGTTAATGCTACTGGCATTGCAGCATAAAAAGCATATTTCCCCTGCAATCCAGCCAGTATCACAGCACACACACTCATTAATATTGCTGCAACAGAAAGGGTACACTGGTTATGGCAACTAGCAATTTTAATTTCAGTTTGGAAGACTGGGATACAATTATATCTATTGCAAGTGTATCTTTACACTTATTAGTCTAATAGTGTGTTTTTCAAGCTTGTATAGTCATTGACAGTCAATGTCAATCTCTTCCATCCCTTGCCAGCCTTGTTCTATTCCTGTATGGTGCTTGTTGATAATGACAAATTATTATTTCAAGGTTCTCCTCTATTGCGGGCAACACTAGATATGAATGATGTAAACAAAATGACCTCAAGATGGTGTGGCATAGCTTACTTAATGTTCTGGAATAACTAGTATGTACCTGATCCAATAACAAGAGGTTTTCTTCTTCCAAGCCTGTCTGATAGGAAACCTCCTATAACAGAACTAACAAATAATTTGTGGTTAGAATTTTTTTTTAGTTTTGCAAGGGTGTCAGAGTTTTCATGGATTACATGTAGGTAACCCTATCAAAAGCAACATTTATCATTCATAAACAGCAGGTCATGTCACTCCTCTTTTTAACCTTAGCCATCAGCCTAACTACCAGGTCCTCAACATTTTCCAGATCACATGCACTGCTCTGACACACTCCCTTTTAAATACAGAGGAAATAAAATGGCCTCACACAAGCTGATCACATAAAATTCTACTTACAACAATGCAGCAGAAAACAGCATTGGAAGAAGCAGCATTGCTACACTCCTCTCAGGAGACCAGCAGTTTGGTAAAGTCACCATGTCTCCCAGCCAAAACTCAAGAAAACTATCCATCAA